ATTAAAAAGCCAGAACAGATGATAAGAGCCTGGTCTTTAAGCACTGCTTTACCATTATGTTTGTATTCTTTCTTGTCTACTTTTGCTTATGGAATTGGGATTTTCATTGGGTGCTTAACTCTACTGTCACTCAGAGATGCCTCCTTACTGACCTCAGGCCAGTCCACTCTTGTTGCAGGATTGAAGACTTAAGATTTGTTTCTCACGACTGGCTTAATTTGGTCCAAAAACTGAGTCTGTGAAGGAAACGTGTGGAATTCTGGCCAGAGGTCTTCCCTTCAGTAATTCTTATTTGTCTGGACAATCTTGGTGCTGTGACTGTGATTGTAAAACTTAAGTACTGTGGACTTTTCCCCCTGAGCTCTGACATGCTTTTAATGGGAATGCTAGTTTCCTACCAGAGAGGAAGAACAGATGTATACCCAGAATTTCACTTCAGGAGAGAGGATATGCTACTGTATCTTACAACTGCATGTTCTAGTATATTGTAATTTATATGCCAGTGTCAGTTTTCTTCTTGCTGTAAAAAGATAGAAGGGGACAACTGCTACTTGTAAAAAAAGAGTTCAATAACCATCACACCATTTCTTTAGTGATGTGGCAAGAAGCTAGATGATTGGCTATTAGATAGTTAAATTATACTGGTTAAAAAGGTGGAACCAACATCTCTTGTGCCATGAGGCAAAACCAGTTGTGGTAGGATTGTTGTATTTACTGCACATTTACTTTGTGGGATGAGAAAACATGATCAGAACAAGGTTTTGTGGTGGAATTTCTTTTTCTGTTTCTGCCACAAAAGCTGCACCCGAAAAGCCACCCTTCAAGGAGCAACAACCATGTTACTTAATTGTTGAACGGAGAAGAGAAGAAAGAAGCGAAATAAAAGAAAGGCTACTGACCACATTTCACAAAAAGATGGAAAGAAGGTATAGTTCTGGCTGAGGGTTATTTAAGAAAGCTCAACATTTTTCCCCAGCAACTTGTATTGTAGGGAAGGGATGGGAAACATATGGCCCTCCTAGTATTGAACTGCAGCTCCCACAGTTCATTATTTTTGGCCATATAGGTTAGGGCCACATTCTAAGAACATCTAATAAGAGCCATGATTGCCCATTCCAACTCTATTGTATGAAAACAGTAGCTATGATCACCACAATCCTGAAGAAAATTGAAATGTCTTGCAGAAAGTAGGATATGGAAATCTAGCATCCCCACAGGCTTAATAGAGCTTGTATTTTTAAAACAAGATTTTGTTCTTAAAAATAAACAAAAAAATAGTTTTTTTGGATGTCAGAATGTTTATTAACTCTTTGGAATGCAGATCTGAATAAACCCACAACTTCTGAAAGGGGAAATCTTAGGTTTGATCTATATGTTCTGCAGAATAAGGTGATGCAAAGTCAATCCAGACTCTAGGCTGATTTTCCATGCTTCCCCACCATTAAGAAATACACATACAAATCAACTATAGTTACAGGGTGGGAATGCCCCCCCTTTAATTTCCATTTTTTTTTCCTTGCAGGCTGTTTTTATTTGGGGGAACTTTCAAAACCTGATTCTGCAATTTACAGGGAGAAACAGTAACATCCAATATATCAGCTAATTGTTATTCAATTCTTTTGGTGGTAAGCCCAGGCCTTAAAAGTACATTTTCTCTTCTCAAAATGTGTTCCCATACACTGCTCCCAGAAATACATTGGGAAAAAAATCTCACTTGCATAGGTTTTAGTGGAAATTAAGCACCAATGTGGAATTGTAACGCTTTTCTATCTCAATAGTTATTATCATTATAGTGTGTGTCATATCAACACTAGCAAATGACCAGTGACACCAATGATCAGATGTCACTGATTAGTTAAGACATAAAGCATATGCTACGTATTTTCCATCTGGGAAATAACTGAGGCTTAAAGGTGCTTGACATTGGCTAAATACTTAACATTGGTTAAAGATTGTGGCTCAGCTGTGAAGGCCAGGACCATGTTTTTTTTGTTTAAAACACACAATTACATTTTTAGGGCTTCAAAGAACTTTTAATTCTTCTGATTGCAGGAGAAAAGAAATGTGTTTGGAATGGGACACATTCAGAGGAATGATTTTATTTTATTTATTCTATTTATATCCTGCCTATTTGGTCATTGCGACCACTCTAGGTGGCTTACAACACAAAATACGTGAATAAATATAAAAAATGAATTATTACACAATTAGACAATGCTACAAGATGGAGAACATACAAAAATAAATCACAATAAAGAAGGGGAGAGAATCAGGAATTAACTGGAGGGAAGTCCTGCCTAAACATCCACGTTTTTAATTGGTTTTTGAAAGTACCCAGTGAGTGAGCCGCGCAAATCTCCGGAGGCAGATTGTTCCAGAGGCGAGGAGCCACCACCAAGAAGGCCCGGTTCCTTGTTTTTTCCTTCCGGGCCTCCCTCAGTGTCAGACTCCTCAGCCTCACCTCCTGACTCGCTCGAGTGACACAGGTAGAACTTGGTGGGAGTAAGCGTTCCGCCACGTATTGAGGCCCTAAGCCGTTTAGGACTTTATACGTAAGCATCAAGACTTTGAGGTCAATGTGGAACTGAATGGGCAGCCAATGCAGCATGGCCAAAATAGGAGAATATGGTGGTATTTTCTCGCTCCACTTAGGAGTCTGGCCACCGCATTCTACACTACTTGGAGTTTCCGTGTCAACTTCAAAGGTAGCCCCACGTAGAGCGCATTACAGTGGTCTAATCTCGAGATTACGGCCGCATGAACCAAGGTAGTGAGTTTTAGTGTAGCGAAATGTAAAG